CCTCCCTCCCATGTGGGGGGGAGGGGGCGGGGCGGGGAGCTGTTTCTAACCCCTCTGGAGACCCCACCAGCTCCCCACGCACACAGCATGACTCAGTGGCGCCCTTTAAGAGGAGAATTTGATTGATGACGTGGACAATTAGACTTGTGAACGTGGCATCCGCGTCGATGGCAATGGCGAGAAAGGAAGCGAGAAAATCTATTTTTGCCCGCTCGCATCGATGGGGCTGCGAGGCGCTGGTGGGGTGCGGGGGAGAGGTGCGCCCCCGCGGCCGGCCACGTGTGCCCCGGCTCCCTCGCACACCCCGAGGCCCGCAGCCCCGGCCGGGCCATCACGCGCCCCTCCAGGCCCCAGCCACGAGGCCTCGCCGCTGCCTTCCCTTCCCTGCTCCCTGGGCTGAGCACGCTGCCACTTCAGCCTGAAGAGGCTTCTTTCTGATTGAACTTGAAACCAAGCCGTCGTGTTCTCAAGCCTAAATGTACCCGGGTGCGCCTCTCCTTTCCCTCCATCCTCCGCCCCCGGGGGCCCCCTCCCCTCGGCAAGAAAAAAGAGAATTTCTCTCTTCAAAGACGAACTTTAGCTAGGGGAAAGAATGGGGATCGTGGCTGCTGGGCATCTCTTTGGTGTTTGCGCTGCAGCCCTCACAGCCCCCCACGCGGGGAGGGGAGGGGAGGGCAGGGTTCTGATGGTGCCCTTCGGGTCTTCCCACTGATCGCCCCCCCCCCCCTCCGGCCCTGCTCACTCTTGCCACTGCCCTTGGCTGAGCAGAGAGCTGGGCCCTCGGATTCCCAGGACACGCAGGTTCAGATCCCAGCTCTGCTCCTCATTAGCGGCACACCTGTCCCGGGGTCTTCAGGCCTTCTCCTGCTCATCTCTGAAACGGGCCTCCCCGTCCTGACCCAGCCCAGCTTTGAGGAGGCCCTGATAAGATGGCCTTTGCTGGGGGGCTAAGCCAGAATCTAATTCCAAGGGGACAGGCAGGGAGAGACAGAAAAGGCAGGCCCCGCTTGCCTGGAACTCTCCTCACTCTGGGGCTGCAGCCCCTGTGGTGGGGAGATCCCTGACCTACCTTGTCCAGATTTCAGTTCTAGGTCTCCAACCAGGACAGCTGAGCCTTTGGACACTGGTCCTCCCTTGTTAAATGAGCAGTCTCTTTGGGAAGAGCTCCATCTCAGGCAGGGCTGGGGGAAGCTGTGTCCTCTTTCAAAGGGGTGAGGGAGAAGGCGTGGTGTTTGGGAGAGGGAGGGGGAAGAGGGAACAAAGGTACCTGGGAATCTTTGCTGGGCCTTAGTTTCCCCGACCATATAATGTCCCACTAGGACTGGACCAGTTGGGGGTCTCTGCGAGACCTCCAGAAACCACAACTCCATCTGGGCAGAAACAAAGCCTCAGGTTTTGGAGATTCTCAACTGTAGGGGGATGCAGAGCAGATGTCAAGATGGGGTGGGGGTGAAGACTCCCCCCCCCCAGCTGCCTTGTCCCCGCTGTGCACGCCCAGGACTAGCTGGTCTCGGAGGCCCCTCCAGCTGGACCCTGCTGGGCTTCCTTGATCAGCAATTCTGCCTTTAATCAAGTGGTCTGGTGCAGGCTGAGGGGGGAGGAGGGGAGGATGACGGGGAGGGAACAGTCTGGAGATAACATTTCTTTGGTTCGCTCAGAAAACTTTCACCCCTCACCAGCTCCCTTGCTGCTAGCTGGAGCCATGCCTCTGGGCAGAAGGAGCAGAGGACTCACCAGGCTGGGGCTGCAGGTAGAGCCACTCAGCTTGGCAGAGGGAAGGAGCCTGGGTAGCATTCCAGCCCCACGGTGGGCAGGCTTTGTCCCTGATACCTGTGTAGACCATGAGCCAAGCCCTGCTCTGCTGACCAGTGGGCCAAGCGTTTCCTGAGGGTGGGGGCTGCTTGCCTCCTCTGTGATCCCCTCTGTTTTTTTTTGTTTTTTTTTTTGGAGGGGAGGGGCGGGGAGGTGGGGACAGGGGCACAGCTAAAGGAGGGGGTCGTCCTGACTCCTCCAGCCCTCAGGGTCTGCTTGCAAACAGCAGGCGGTGCTGACTTCTCCCCAAGGGACCTGGTTGGCATTTTCTGGCTTTCTGTGCAGCCTTTAAGCTTGTGACAGGCACCAACCTCCCCTCTCCCCCCTGCTCTTACGCTACCCTTTCTCACTGTCTGCCTGCTGAAAAGAAATCTCCAGTCTCCTGAATTTACAAACACTTTACCGAGATCAGCAGAAACCAACAGAAAGCCCCAGGCTTATAGGTCTTGAAACGCAAGAAAGCCTTCTCCCAGCAGCGGCCCTGCAGGGGGCTCTAAAGAGGGCCAGATCTGAACCAGCCCCCACCTCCTGGTCTCTGGAGCCTACTGGGGGTGGAGGCCCAGTGGCAGCTGTTAGAGGAAGGGCAGGAAGGCGCCAGGCCTTGTGAGTACAGTGGTTTTCTACTTAGGAAAACCCAAGTTCCCTTTGGGGACAGGTGTGGCATCCCTGTTTATAGACAAGGAAACTGGGCTCTGAGGGGGAAGTGACTGGCCCAGGGCCCTCAGCAGGCAGGGGATGGAGCTGGGATTAGCGAGCAGGTGCCAGCCAGCCAAGATACTGCCCTTTCAGCCTAAGCCCCTGACATTTGGACACGGATGCCCTTGGGTGAGACTGCCCTCCTCAGGCCTCCCTCCCCAGTTCAGGCCTCCCTCCCTTTCCAGAACTGGGGAGGGAGGCGGCGACAGCGGCAGGAAGGGACTGAGATTGGAAAGGGAGGGGTCTAGATGAGGGTGCACTTGATGGTCGCAGCGGGGGGCCCCGTGGTGCTCCACACAGTCCACACCGCGTGACTTGGTCTGGGAGGAGGCCCTCGCCCCAGGCCGCTCAGCCCAGAGATCCCCCGACCCTCCTTAGAGTCTGGCTGAGAACCCAGCCCTTCCCAATCTGCCCGCTGTGTAGGATAATTTTGGAGGCTGAGGTCAGGGTCCTGGGAGGGAAGAAAGGAGGGGGGATCAGGGAAGCTGGGGCGATCTCCATGCAGTGGGCAGTTGAACCTCCAGGTCTGGCCTGCCCGCCACTCTCGTTGGAACCCCCTGGGTCTTGGGCAAAAGACCTTCCAACTCTGAACTCTAGTTTCTTCATTTGAGAGGAGTCCCTGGAAGAGACTGGGGTAATGGAAAGGAAGGGGTGCAGGGTGGGTGACTGCTCCCTCCAGCCTGTCGCTCAAGCGATTCCCAACCGCACCCCACCCCCTTCTGGGTCTCCCGCACAGAACGCCAAGGAAGAGGCACCTTCCACAAGGGGAAGGGGGTGGGGGCTTCCCCAGCCTCTGTGGAGTCCGCCCAGTGCGGCTCCAGGGTCTCCCCCCGGGGCGTGTGCCCGCCCTCCCACAGCTGTCTTACTTTGGGAGCACAGACTTAGGGCCTTAGGGCCCGTGGGCCAGGGGACTCCCCGTGGCGTCACTTCCCACGCCCATCTTGAGGATGGAGAGTATGTCCTCAAACCTGCCAGGGCCCCAGGAGATGGTCTGAAGGCCAAGGCCCCCCACCCCATGACCCAAGTGGCAGAGATCACGCACCCACCTCACTGTGGTAAAGGGGAGGCTATGAAGTGGGTGGGCACCCACCCCCTGCACCTGGGATCTATACGCAAACTAATCTATGCCAACGAAGCATGCATAAATAACCCATCTAGAGGTCATGACCTCCTGGGACCCTTCCCCAGGGAGTTAAAGACCTTTCATCTCCTTCTGCCACCCCTCCACCCCCACCTACCCTTCCCTCTTCCCCCCCCCCCCCCCCCCCCCCCCCGCCCCCCGCCTCCAGCGCCCTGATCAGGACAGGGGCTGGAGGATCTGCCCAGCAAGGTCTCCAAACCCAGGCTGGGGGCTCTCCCCAGGAGCTCTTGGGAGGGGAGGATCTCTGGCAAGATCAGCATCCCCACCCCCACACCCCCGTGACTCCTCTGGAGGCCTCCCAGTAGGTCTGGAATATGTGCCCAGTGCTTGGTGTGCAGCTGCGTGAGTGTGAGCGGACTTGTGAGCTTGCCCACACGTGTCCCGGTGTGTTTGTGCATGTGCTGGGTGACAGTACATTCGTGTTTTGATGAGTGTGTAACCAAGAGCCTGTGATTTGTGAGTCTGGGGGACTGGGTCCGCGTGCTTGTGAACATCACCTACGTGTGGCCCTACACATGTGCGCGAGAGTCTGTGGTTTATGTGTCTGCATGACTAAGGCCCTGACCCCGTCTGCCCGTGTGTGAGTGGGCGTCTGTGTGTTTACAAGTGAATTCGTATGTTCAGGTGTGCACGTGGCTCTGCACGTGCCCCTGTGTGGACAGACGGGTGGGCACATGGTGAAGGAGGCCCAGGGTTTCATAACTGTGTCCGCGGGCCTCTCTGCGTGCCCATGCCTGAGCCTGTGACGCTCCCGACTATTTCTATAACCTGCGTCCGCCTGCCAGCGTGTGCCGGTGGTGTAGGGTGTGTCTGCCTTGCAGTGTGCGTGTGTGTCTGCATTTTCCGGCGTCGTTACGGGCTGGGGGTCGGGGGGTGTCAGGCTTCTCATCCGTGTTTTCCTGAGTGCGTATGCGGTGCGAGCGTGTTCTTCGTCCCTAGAGTGTGCGTTTGTGTTTTCCTGGCCGTGTGAACCATGGCATGCGTGCTCGGGACCTTGGCGCTAAGTGTTTTGGTGCTTCTATGCGTGTTTCTGTATTCTGAGCGCGTGCTGGCGTCTGCCTGGGGTCTGCGGCCCAGCCCCGGTTCGGTCCCTGCCACTTGTCCTAAGCGGGCCCGTGTGTGCGCGCCCGCGGGCCGTCCTGTGTCCCGACCGTGTGCCCAACGTGCGCGGGGTACCTGTGCCCGTCTAGCCAAGAGCGCTCCGTGCGCGCGAGCGGCTTTCCGGGACGCCGCAGTGGTGGGGGGCGGCCCCGCGAAGGGCGGGGGTCACCGGGACTGGCCGGCGCCGGCCCCGTGCGCGCGGAGGCGGGGGCGGGGGGCGGGGGCCGCGGGGGGGCGGCGGTACGAAAAGGGCGGCGCGCGCGGCGGCGGCGGCAGCTCGGCGGCGGCGGCGGCGGAGAGCGCAGCGCGCAGCCCGGTGCAGCCCTGGCTTTCCCCTCGCCGCGCGCCCGCGCCCCCTTCCGCGTCCGCAACCAGAAGCCCAGCGCGGCGCCCGGAGCCGGACCCGCGCCCGCGCCGCTCCCGGGACCGCGACCCCGGCCGCCCCGCGATGACCGCGACCGCAGCCCTCCTGCCCGTCCTCTTGCTCCTGCTGGCCTTCGGCCACAGTGTCCATGGTGAGCCCCCCCTCCTCCGGCGGCCTGGCTCGCGCCCCCTCTGGGGAAGCCTGCGACGCCCCCCCACCCCCGGCTGCCCGGTGCCCCGCACGCCCCGTCCCATGCGTCCCAACTCCGGCCCGTCCCGCCTAACCCTAAGCCCCGCACGGTGCTGCCTCGCCCTCCCCGCCACCCTCGCATATGCCAAGCCCGGCCCTGGGGTCCCCGGGAGGGGGGGCAGGGGAGGTGTGGGACCCCCACCCCCACCCCCAGCCCCTTCCCGCCCCGCAGAAGTGGCGCTCGCAGGGGTGTCGTGCGCGGAGACAGGAGGTATGGAGAAACGAGGTGATGCTCGGGAGCCCTGTGTGGAAATGCTCTGGGGTGCAACTTTGGGGTGTCGCTGCGTGCGCGTTCAGGAACAGGTCTGTGGGGGCTGTGGGGGGTGGCTTTGCCGTCGCAGCACCAAATTCCCACGGAGGAGCCCAGCGCAAGCCCCTCCTGCGTGGCGTTTCTCTCGGTGAGGGGCTGCGACACTTCTGTCTGCAGCGGCCATCTGTCTCTGACAGTGAGAGAGTTGCCCCTTCCCGCAGTGCCCCCCGCCCCCACTGCACCAGAGCTGATGGGGGGGCCGTCTGGAAAGGGGGGAGCTAGTTGAAGTGAACGCACACAGTAGGCACCTACCAGAGTGTCTGAATGTCTAGATAGCGTCAGAGTGGCAGAATCTCTTTTGCAAAAACCCTTGCGTCTTTTTAATATGAAGAGTCCGGGGTAGGAGAACTTGGGGGAATTTGACCTGGGTGCCTGGTTTAGCGGGGGATTAACCTTTAAGAAAAATCCTGATGCCTTACCTGCGAGGCTGCCAGGTGAACCTGTCTGGCCTCTTCCAAAGCCAAATACCTCCAAATCTGCTCCCCATTTTAGGCTCACTTTGCAAAAGTGAGGGCTTGGCTGAGGGCCCAGGGGTCAGAAGCTTTCCATTCACTGTCTCCCTATCCCCGCTTTTAGCATTTGAGGTTTCGTATTCTGGAGGGGAGGGTCTGGGGGGGTGGAATTAAGTGTCTGACCTGCTCCTAGGAGCTAAGTGGTTTACTGTGGTCACTCCATAACCAGGAACATGGCAGAGATTTTTCTTTTTTTTTTTTTTTCCTCCCCCCCACCCCGAGTGGCCTGATGTGAGACACCTACTGTGTGCCAGGCTGGTAGGAGGGTGTTTGGCTCCTTCCGGGGAGGCTGTGGGCTGCTGGGGAGAAGACAGCCTTTGCCTTGGCCTCTGGGGCCTCGTGGGGTGAATGGTGTAACCTTTCTTGTGACTCAGGAGCTGAATGCTTCCCGGCCTGCCACCCCCAAAATGGATTCTGCGAGGATGACAATGTTTGCAGGTAATGGGGTGGCTCCCCAGAGGCATCTCGTAGGTGGTCAGGGCAGAATCCTGGGGAGTCGTGGTGTCAGGCAGGAAGGGGGGGCTTGGCTGCTGGGCTGCAGCCAACAGCTTTCTCGCCCCCGTAGGAAAACCGGTGGGGGATAGCCAGGGGTAGAATGGGGCAGGGGGTAGGGGACAGCCACGGCTCCTGTCTGCCGTGTCAGCAGTGGGGGTGTTGGGAAAGCCCCTCGCAGGGTGAGACCACTGCAGGCCACTGTGGCAAGACGCCATGCTTTCCCGGGCTCTCAGGGACCCCTCTGTCTGGTCCTCTGTTGATACTTTTCCGTTCAGGTGACTGGTATTTGCTTCCTGGGACCCACTTGGCCTGGTACTGTGCAGACACCCCCGAGGGATCTTGGCTCCACAGTAGGCAGCCTGAGCTCCCTCTCCACTCCTGCCCCCCTTCATAGGTCCTCATCTTCCCCTCCCCTCCCCCCGCAGGTGCCAGCCTGGCTGGCAGGGTCCCCTGTGTGACCAATGCGTGACCTTTCCTGGCTGTGTTAACGGACTCTGCGTGGAACCCTGGCAGTGCATTTGTGACCACGGCTGGGACGGGAACCTCTGCGACATAGGTGGGCACCCCACCCCACCCCTGCCCTGGGCGCCCAGCCACCTCCTCCCAGCCTGTGGCGGCCTCCCCTCCCCTTCCCGCCTTATTCCCACACACGCAGGGCTCTGTGTGGTAATGATCTGTTTATATCCTTCTCACTGGTGCCCCCAGAGCCTCCTCACAGGTAGGGACTTAATTTTGCTCCCCTCTGCTCGGCCAGCACCAGCACCCAGAGAAGGCCCTTTGTGGGGGCCAGCAGGGAGCTGCCTGTTGAATAGAGTCACGACATAAGCACACGCCACACAAAGCTGAAAGGGTAGAGGCCTGGGTAACCTCTGCGGGTCACTAAAACTCCGAGGGGGTAAGGGCTCGGGGTGGGGGTCACAGGGCTAAACCTCCAAGAAATTCACACGGGAGGCTGCAAAAGCACGCAAACAAACAAACGAAGGGGTGGGGGTGGTGAGCGGGGGTGGGGGGCCAGGAGCTGAGTCAGGGCCGGCTGGCCCGACAGAGCAGGTGTCCCTGGTCAGGTGTAGGGGGAGGCTGGGGTTCGGGATGGGCTGAGAAGTGGTCAAAGTGCAGATTGGTGTGATCTGTTGATTTCATTAATTTATGCAAACTTTGTCCTCCATTACCCTGAGCAAATTGAGAGTTGGCTGTCCCTGCATTTTTAGGCTACAAAATGTCCATCTGAGTCCATCCTGCTTTGGCAGAGCCTGCCCTAAAGCTGGGGCAAGCTGAAGTCCTCGAAAAAACTCCCAGCAGCGTAGGGCAGCCACCACAGGGCTTCTGTCCTTCGGTCCTCAACATGAGCTGGGACGAGGGGTACTGATAGGGAAATCGAGGCTCGCGGAAGTCAAGGGCCGTGCTTAGGGACACAGAAGAAGTTGTCGGGAGAAAAGCCAGCTAAAATCCCTTCTCCTAGCCCCAGAACTGGGCTAATTCTCAGCTGTGGCTCTTCCTAATCCTCTCCCTTAAGGAAAAGGCAAGAGCGTGTTGTGACCACCCACCCCTGCCCCCCATCTCCAGGGCAGCGGGCTTTCCTAACTGAGCCCACCCCCCACCACATTGTCTCAGGTCCTTAAAGGCCCCGCAGCTGACTCATGCTCTGACCAGCGGCTCTGCCGGCCCTCAGCACCGCACCCTCTGAGCTGCTTTGGGACCCACAGGATCCCCGAAAAGCCACCTCTTGGGGTCAGGGCTTTTAGCCTGGAGCCCACCTTCTTTGGTGTCTGGTTCAGGACTGCCGCCTCCCTGCCCATGGAGTTTTCCAGACAAAAACGTTCCCTCCTCACTGGGTTGACAAAGCCTCTCAGCCTGGGACTCCGGGTCCCGAGGAAAGAGCCCTCCGGGTAATTAGCGGCTCTCTCCCTTTCTCTGGGTCTCTGAGGCTGTCAGGGCCCCAGCTGCTGCCCCAGCAGAGACCCCCGGCAGCTTTCTCCTTGCCCGGGCTTAATCTACCCGTCCCTTGGGCTGGAGGCCCAGGAGTTGGGAAGAATGGCTCATCCTCTGCTCGTGGGGCTGGATGCTGCTGGGAGGGAAGGGGGGGTGGTCGCCAGCTCTTTAGCTTAATTTAAGATTCCCAGTGACGGGGTTGCTGGGAGCACAGGATTGGGAACCTTCTCCTGCTAGCTGTACCGGCCCCTTCCCGTAGTGATAAATCCTCTTTATGTTTCCTTATACTGAGCTGGGCTCCCAGGGAATGCCTCGTGTGCTCTGGATAGGCCATCAGCATGGCGTTCGGGCTGCTCCTTATTGACTGATTGCCATTCTCCCTCCACAAGGGTGCGGGTCTCCTTAAAAGAGGGGAAAAAAATTTGCACATGTGTGGCCTCTGCATCAGGGACCCCCACCCACTCTGCCTTAACTTGCAGCGTCTCTGGTTGGCCCTGGCTTTGTATTTGGCAGGTGCCCCAGGGCAGCTCAAATGTAGGAAACCAAAGCTAAAAGGTACCCCCTGCCCAGATGTACCAGGGAGAGCCCCCCCTTTTGTCAGTGGGGAAAGTGAGGCACAGAGAGGGGAGGAGCTGAACTCTGAGGCCGGCTGGAGCCGGGCCTAGAAAAGGTCCCACCTGGCCCTGCCTGGGGGCGGTGGTCTCCACTGGCAGAAAGCCCCTGACCCAGGCCCCTTTGTTCAGCTGTCCCTGACTCGCGGAGCCCTGCATAATGAGTGCGCATGACGGGAGGTGTAAAAAGGCGGCGGAAATATAGCAGTGTTCATGGAAACCCACATGGACAGGAGAGCACTCAGATACTTCTAATTTCGCTGCCTTCAAAAGAAACAGCCTTTCCACCCTGAGCCCCTCCGTTCAGATCCTGAGCGCAGAAAGAGCGACCACCAGGAGGTGGAGGTAGTGCTGGGGCTGAATCAGGTTTCTTGATTCCCGACAGGGTCTTCAAATGTCTCCATTTCTCCCCCGCCCCTCTGTGGTGGGGAACTTTGAAGGGCAGCTGGTGTTTTCTAACAGCTGGGCTGTGCGGTTGCCCTGAATGGCAGGGACCCCCCCCCCCGCAAACAGGAGAAGCAGGACGTGAAAATTTGTCTAGGGGAGGGAGGCACTGGGGAGCCTTGGCCTGGCACACACCGTTTGGGGGGAGAGAAGGGGTCTGCAGTGAAGGTCATGCTGCTGGACCGGAGAGGGGACCTGGTGCCAGGAAAAGGGGACGGCTGTCCTGGGTTGAGGAGCAGTGAGCGGTCATGACTTTCTGTCCCTGTGACCTACCCCCAAGGGAGCCCCTTCAGCTCCCTGAGCTGCTTACCCACTGCAGTTTCGGGGGGTCACTACACGTTCTTCCTCAGGACCCCATTTGGTGACCATTGACAGTGGCCACAAATAGAGCCATCGAGGCAGCTCACTCGAGGTCCCTGCCCTTGACCAGCTGGAGAGCTCTGTCCCTGCCCCCATCCAGAAATCTCTCCTTCCAGCCTGTCCCCCTCTCCCTCCCTGGGAAGGGTGACAAAGTCTGCTTTTCCCTCCCCACCCCAGACGTCCGGGCTTGTGCCTCGACCCCCTGCGCCAACAATGGGACCTGCGTGAACCTCGATTCTGGCCACTATGAATGCTCCTGCGTCCCTGGGTTCTCGGGAAAGGACTGTCAGAAGAAGGATGGGCCCTGCGTGATCAATGGGTAAATATTCTTTCCGACTCTGTGTGATCTGATGAATGCTGCTTTGATTCCTGCTTCACATCCCTAAAGACCCTTTCAGCCTAGCCCAGTCGGACCTGTCGCCTGACAAAAGACGGAGTAAGTGCCCGTCCTGCAGCCCCGCGGGGGGCCGTCCCAGATCAGGGTATTTAGTGGGGAGTGCGTCATTTCCATCATTTCTGAAGGGACCCCGAAGGTGATTTCATATTCCCTTGATGCTCCCAAGTCCCGATGTGCATGCGTGACGGTAGACTGGGCCCGCCAACCGGAGCAGGGAACAGGGAGCCGCACCGTGTTCTAAGGGCAGCCCCAGGGCGGGGGGGGGGGGGGAGCGAAAGTCTTTGTGAAGCCCACTCACTGCATTTTAGGGGGTGGTTTTGGGGAACTGGCAGACTCTGTAGCTGGGTTTTCAGGGATGTCTTGGGGGGATCTGCTAAGGCTCAGGAGTGGGGAGAGGGGACTTTGGCCAGTGGGGTCTGGGGGGGGTCCAGCTCTCAGCTGCCCTCAGTGGGGCGGGGGGCTCTGGGACTTCTGAGCAGTGGGCACAACAGACAAGAAGGGCCACTTGCTTTCTAGCAGCCAAGCCATTTCCGGCCCTTATCTGTTTAGCTACCCTGAGCCTACCCAGCCGTCTGCTGGGGCTTAGGCAGTCGGTTGCAAGAATGCAAACTGGAGCCGGGTCCCGGGCTGGGAGCTGGGGGGTGGGGGAGACAGACCAGGCAGAATAAGCTTATCTTGACCTGACATTCCAGGGGGCTGTGGAGGACCCTGGGGCCAGCAAAGGCCACAAACAGGCATTTGTGCAGCATCTAAAGATCAGTGTTCAGAGAGGGTCAGAGGAGAGGGGGTCACAACCAAAGTCCGCGTCTGCTTCTTAGTGGGATGGGAAAATACAGACAGAAACCTTTAAAATATTTTGTTTTTTCTCCAACCAACTTGAACCAGTCTGTCAAAATAGAGCCTAAGGTCCTTGAAGTTCCTTCAGAGCCCAGCTCCCATACAGCCCTCACCCCCGAAGCGGCAATGCTGATTTCCTTGTGCTTAGAGCCCCTTTCTTCTCTGGGTTTTGGCATTTATCAGATGACAAAGGGTCTGCTCGTTTAAAAGCACTTATATTAAATGCTCCTGTGCTCCGCTCTGAGCAAACAGCTCCGGTCTGCACGCCGCAATTGGGTGAATGGCCCACGATTAAACAGCCGGGCACAGACGCTGGCTGGGCCAGCAGATAGACGGAGGCTTGCTTTCACTCTGAGTGTCCCCAAGGGCTTCCTGTACAATAGTCTGCAGGCTCTCTCCGCCGAAAGTGACAATACGAGTCACCATCAGGGTGGTGGTGTGGCGCAGGGAGCTTGGGGGGGGTACTGAGGCCCCCGGCTCTGCCCAGCGGCCCAGGGATGGAGCTGAGGGAGGGGGCTCGCTCCAGCCCTGGGTCATCACTAACTTTGCCTCTCTCAGCCTCAGTTTCCCCACCTGTCCAGTGACTAACCGTCAGGCCTCTGGTCGGAGAGATGACATAAGAGGTGGGAGAGGAGACGGGCGTCGGCCCGGGAGGTCAGGCGTGTTCCAGGCTGGCAGCTGGAGGGGGTGAGGCGCGCGCCCCATCCCACAGGCGCGCCTCCGTCCAGCTCGAACCGCCCAGGAGCCCCTCGCGGGCAGGGGTGGCAGCGCCCAGTGTCTCCCTGGCCGGTGCTCGCTCGCGCACCGGACGGGGCCTAAGCACCTGCCTGCCGCACCCTCCACCCCGCCCCGCAACATCATCCTAGCCCAGCCCCCGAGGGCCCTTTACCGTGTCCCCCTGTTGTGTTGCAGTTCCCCCTGTCAGCACGGAGGCACCTGCGTGGATGATGAGGGCCGGGCCTCCCATGCCTCCTGCCTGTGCCCCCCTGGCTTCTCAGGCAATTTCTGCGAGATCGTGGCCAACAGCTGCACCCCGAACCCGTGCGAGAACCAAGGCATCTGCACCGACATCGGGGGCGACTTCCGCTGCCGATGCCCCGCCGGCTTCGTGGACAAGACCTGCAGCCGCCCCGTGAGCAACTGCGCCTCCGACCCGTGCCTCAACGGGGGCACCTGCCTGCAGCACACCCAGGTGAGGTACGAGTGTCTGTGCAAGCCCGAGTTCACGGGCCCCCTCTGTGGCCGGAAGCGCGCCCCAAGCCCCCAGCAGGTCACCCGTCTGCCCAGCGGGTACGGGCTGACCTACCGCCTGACCCCCGGGGTGCACGAGCTGCCGGTGCCCCAGCCCGAGCACCGCATCCTGAAGGTATCCATGAAGGAGCTCAACAAGAGCACTCCCCTCCTCTCCGAGGGCCAGGCCATCTGCTTCACCATCCTGGGCGTGCTGACCAGTCTGGTGGTGCTGGGCACCATGGGCATCGTCTTCCTCAACAAGTGCGAGGCCTGGGTGTCCAACCTGCGCTACAACCGCATGCTGCGGCAGAAGAAGAACCTGCTGCTGCATTACAACAGCGGGGAGGACCTGGCGGTCAACATCATCTTCCCCGAGAAGGTCGACATGGCCACCTTCAGCAAGGAGGCCGGCGAAGACGACATCTAAGCGGCGCCCCTGCCGGCCCCTCTCTGTTCTCGGGGTCCCGCAGAGCTCACTATATGCGGTCTGTTCTCCTCTTTGTGGTGGAATTTGCTCTATTTTGTGTCGAATCTGGTGAACGCTATGCTTACCTATATTACCTTTGTGTTGCTCTGTGACAAAGTGCCCAAAGCATCCTCTTGCTCTCTCTTAATGCATGATCGAAAAATAATAATAAGAATTTCATCTTTAAACAAGTAAGAGAAATAAGTATGTTATTCTAAACTCTAAACGTAAAATCAAAAAGACCAAAAAAAAACAAGGCAACAGAACCGGGACTCGGTGCCGACATCCCTCTCCGAGGGGTCTCGGCCACGGTCCTCGTGAAACCGTTACGAGTGCTGTGCATGACCACCCACTGTGAAAAAGGCTAAAATCTCTTTCGTTCGTTAATCCTCACACGCCACATCCAACGCGCACTCACATCAAGTTCAACACCGCAAACTTTAGATCTTTCAGATTGATTTGAGATTTTGCGGAGTGCAGCGGCCGTGTGTCAGGCAGAGAGAGCCCCGGGTTGGCTGCTGGGGGGGCCGGGACCTCGTCCCAGCCCTGCCACTAACTCGCTGTGTGATCCTTGGCGAGCCCCTGTCCCCACCCCGGGCCCACCTCTTCCCCCCTCGAGGGAGGGGCTGGAATGCAGTGACCATCGAAGTTCTCTCTGGCTCTAAAACTCTGAACGAGGAACGAAGGGGTATGAACCAAAACAGTTCCTGACCCTAAAAATTAGGATCTGATGAAGACAAAGTCTCATCCCGGGATCCACAGGTTTTGGCCTATCCTGGATGCACACTTGACGTATTGAGATCGATCCTAACTGCATTTCTCAAAGTGGGGAGCCTCCTGGCTCGCTTTCGGTTTGGAAGCAGTTGGCCCCCTTTGAGTCACCAAGTGCAGTCTGGAGTTGCCACTTGGGCAGCCCCAAGCCACCCCCAAATCCCTAGCACTTTACCTGCCTCCTACCCTGTAGATTAGAGATGTCCCTTGAAATTTAAATGCCCCTTGAACCACAAGTGCCCCTGGCGAAATCTGAGCAGCAACACAGCCCTCACCAAGGTTTCCACAGGGTTTCGTGGGAAATTGTCGCTCGTGGGGCGTCTCCTAGTTCTGTGGTCAAAGGTCCCAGACCTTGGTCTACACAGCTATGGATTTAATTTGTGTTGCTGAGTTAATAACTCTCAGATCCCGAAAGACCTAGCCAGCTTTTGAATTATAAATTTGACTTTTTTAAAAAAGAGCATCTATCTTTTTTGTGAAAATAGAAAGAAATGGGACAGAGCTCTGTTTGGCTTTCCAGCTCTTTAGGGTTGGGCAGCTAAACAGCCCTCGGGTACCAGTGAGAAATATTTTGCTTCTTAAATTATTTGGATAGGAAGCTATATTCTTAGCTTTATTGAGTATTACCTGCCGTGTTTACCTTGCTCCAAGTATTTATTTCCAAATCATCATCACCATCTTCCTGATCATTCAGGTCATCCCCTCACACACAGACATGCGTCACCGTCACCATACAACCATCGACCTCATTACCTTCAGCCACCGACCACTGTCCCTGGTCCCTCGTCATCCTGAGTCAGAGCATGACCGTTCATCTCCTCCAGCTCTCCGTGCCCCATCCAAGCCCCTGTCCCCATTGCTCCCAGTCCCCGAGCCCCTCCCACCCCCAGGCCCTGTTCTGGTCCTCTGCAGGCAGAGGCCTGTCACCCCTCGAGCCCTCCCCCCAACCCCATCGCTCACCCAAGTCCCTCACCCGCCTCCGGGCAATTTACCCTCAATCCCAAGACCCTGTCACCTTTGCTGGCCACCCCCTCCCACCCCTCCCCTTCCTACCCTCACACCCCGCCATCCCACCCCTGGACTCGGAGAGTGCCCGCCCCACATCCCTCCTCCCCCATGTCATTCAGTCATCATCTCATCTCATTTTGAGTTCGTTTTGAGAAATAAAAAATTTAAAAAGACAAAAAAAAAGAACCGTTGGCATGGCCAGGCGGGTGTCTGGCACCCCACCTGGCCTCTCTCGCGTGAGACCTTGACCGAGTCCGCTAACTGTTCTGATCCAGTTCCCCAAACACGAAATTCCGAGATTGGCCCAAGCGATTCAATTCTCTGTTCCCCTCTTTCCATCTCCGTGCTGTCGAGAACAGCCTGTTCCCCACCCACCGCCCCCCGACGACAAGGGGGAGCATCCACTGTCTGTCAACCCTTGACCCCCTCCCCATCCATTCACCAACTCATCTGCCATTCATTCATTCGATCAGGAAGCATTTCCAGCACCTGCTGCGTGCAAGGCAGCGTGCGGGGAGCTGTGCGGCACGCAGGATGAGGGCAGTCTGGGGGGGGGAGCGGACACACGATGTCCCCAGCAAGCCAAGCAGTGCAGGTAACATGCCGTGGGAGCAGGGAGTCCTGAGCAGACGCCCTTAAGCCTGACCATCTTACCCTCCCACGTGACAAATTATCTATTACCAGCACCCGACGAGGCCACCCCACCCAAATTCCACAGCGCCCACTTGCACACATCCCGCGAAACCAGAACAGTGTCCGCAGCCTCGACACGGTCCTCACGTCATGCAGAAATGGTCCATTCCATCCTCTGTGGGGTAACCAGATTCTGCTGAGAGTGTCGGGATCTCTGGCTGCCCATCCACACCTCGTGTGTGTTTGGAGTAGTATGTAGTTTACGAAATAAACGGAAAAGCTCAAAGACAGCTGTCGAAGACATGATCACCAATTTGGTCCCAAAATTGAGAGAGGAGGAGGCGTAATGATCTTTTCTGTAACCAAAATATTTCAAAAATGTCAATGACGCTCTTTTTAGCTTTCCCGTTTCCTAAAAACCAGACAAGCAAAAAATTTTGTTTATTGAAAAATAAACAAAACCCAAGGGCTATTGGTGTGTTTCTGTGATTTGTTGTGCGCCGGGCTACCGTTGTCCCTTCCCACTGGTGGCCTTAGCCCCGGGCAAGAGGGGTCAGGGGTCCGTGTTTCGGAGGGCCCTGCGGTGGCCCCAGCCCTTCCCACGTGTCGAGGAGACCCCAGGGAAGGGCTGAGCCCACCACGCCCCTTCCGGATGCACTCTGGGTGCCTGGAGCACCGGCACTTCCTGCCCTATGGGCCCCACCTCTGCCTGGGTCTGTTTCCAACAGTGGCTGTGGGTGGGTGGTGTGGCGGGAGCTGGGGCTCCAGGGGGGGAGGGGGGATGGGGCAAGGGGCTCCATGCACGAGCACACCAGAGGGGAGCGTCGGCTCTCCCACCCACCAGGTCCCAGCCCAGAGCTCCCGGGGGTCCCAGAATGCCACGCTGTTCTGGTCCTTCCAGAACTTAGTGAAGGTGGCACCGGATTTTGTTTGGTCGTGAGAGGGACTTGGAGGCTTCTAAACCTTGGCACATCCGTATACGGACCCCATTTAGACTCCTGACCTGGGCCCTGCGTGGGCCGGGAGGGATCTGCCTCTCTGCCAGCCCTGGCCTTGGGCCACAGGCTTGCACACTTGGCTCACTAAAGCCACCCTTTTGAGTCCCCGTGGAGTGCCTGACACTGCACGTGCCTGCCCACCCACCAGAAAGGGGTCAGCCGGACCCCTCCCCCCGGACACAGGAGCTGCAGCCCAGTCCCTTATCCCTGCTGGCCCAGGAGGCCACCCCGGGGCAGGACCCCCTCCCCCACTTTCTCCCACCCCCGGCCTCTCCTCTCCAGGGCTCCCCTCGGCCAGGCCACTGCCACGGCCCACCCAGCAGTCCAGCCGTGCCCCGGGTGTCCCTGAGATGCCCCCCTCTTCCGCTCCCACTGCTTCTCCCTTCCGTGCTACTCTGCTCTCAGCTGGTGGGTGGGGGTCCCGTCGAGGCTGGGGACACATGAGAGGGACAGACTACCCCAGACGCGGGTGCCGTGCTGCAAACTATAAAAAAATAAAATAACGAGGCTGAGGTAACAAACGTAGAAGCTTCTAAGAAAGGGATGAGTGTTCCAGGAGAATAAGTATTAACAAAATGTGGCCAGCAAGAAAAGGCCAGTTACCTGGGAAGAAACCCCAAGGTGGGCCAGCTGTCTGTTACCTGACTTTGACCCTTTGACAGAATAGGAGGTGCCCGAGCAGAGACATGGCTCCAGAGCAATGAAAAAGAAAAGATGAAGACTTTTCAATTCTTTTTCAAAGCTAGGAGAACCCCAGTGCTCAAACTTGACAAAGGTAACGAAAGAAAAGGAAAGTCACTGTCCTCATTCCCAAATAGAGAGACAAACATCCGCAGTGAAATAACAAAAACAGGCAAAAAAAAAAAAAAAAAAAAAATCATGACCAAGTAGAGCATTTTCTGGGAAAGCAAATATAATTTAATATTAATAAACATATTCATAGGCTGTGAACCCTGGAGAGACCCGGGAGGGAGGAAACAGTGGCAGATCACAGGTGACCTGGCCTGGAGAAAGCCAGATGGAAGATCCCTAAATGAAGGATCAGGGCTGAAAAGGGGAGTCTGACCTTGGAAACTGGGTGCTGTAGAGGGGGAGGAGTGCAGAGGACCCAAGAAGGGGGAAGGCCCAAATGTGGGGCAGTTGGGGTGAGCATGGGCGGCATGCATCAGGAGGGGCTGTGGTTGCGAGGGGTCCCCATGCAGTGCCCCAAGTGCAGAGCCAGCCAAGGAAAATACCAGATGAACTCCAAGTTCAGGAAGAGAAGAGCGCTGCCCATGGGCAGCGGGTGGATGGATTTTCCTGGAGGACAGTGAGGAGGGGGTGCGGCTGGACAGGGAATGAAGAGAAGACAGGCCCCCAGCACGGAGCAGCCTGTTTCATGACAATCCATGGGTGTGGGGCTATCTGCTCAGCCAACCACAGATCCCACCGTGCTTCTGACGTGAGGTTCTGCGGCTTTCTTCCCTTTAGCCACTCTCCTGCTGCTAAAGATGAAAACATCTGCCCCGCACATCCCGTCCAAGACCCTCAGTAGTCCACAGGAGGGAGGAGGCAAAGACACCAGCTGCCCCCTCACCCCTCGTTGGGTCAGGAGCTCCCAGCAACTTTGGGACTGTTGAGGGCTCTGCTCTGAAGCTTGCATGGCCCCAGACATTGCTGTGCTGTGACCTGTGAAGACGCAAACATAAGAATGGACTAAATTTCAGCCCAAAAAATAAGTGAAAAGAAAAAAATATATATGATACCAAGTCAAAGGAATTGGTGCCAGAAGGAATTGGATAACAT